GGGGCAAATTATAGGTTTCCTTTACTCTGAAATAAAGATGTTTCTCTTTTGCATGGTCTGGTCTAAATACTTAATCATATGTGAGCAAAAAGAGAAGCCACTCAATTGGCCTTATGGAAATGAACATCAGGGGATGAGCAGTTGGGGGCTTGGTGAGATTTTCAAAGGCTTTTCGTACTCATTTTCTTGGTTGTCTTCATTCCCACTCTTCTCATCCTGCCAGCCCAAGTACAGCTGCATCTGCCATGCTGGGTGGACGTCCCCGCAGAACAGCTCGGCCTGTACGCTGGACATAGATGAGTGCAGCCTCCAGCCTGCACCTTGTTCACCGCTTGTGCAGTGTTTCAACACTCCAGGCTCTTTCTATTGTGGGGCCTGTCCTACAGGTACGTGGGCATGTCCACACCCAGCCAGAGGCACCGTGCTGGGTTCTGCAGGCCAGCCAGCCTGGGTGCCAGAACCTATTTCTTTCCTCTGCTGAGGGAATAAGAAGACCGTTCTTAAGAGACATTCCAATCCAGCGTCACGTCCTGTCTCACTGACTCCCACCCCTGACCATCTTACTGCTATGACAATTCAATAACAGAAATGGGGAGCTTTGTCCCAAACTGCTAGAGTCAAACATTGGGGGCAGGGTTAGCCATAGTTTGTGAGGTCAAATATTTTATTTCCATGGCCACCAACTGACCAGACTTGAGATCAAAACACACATGCTCTAATCCTACCTTTCATACCAGCCAGATGTTTGTAAACTTGGACAAATTATTTGCCTCATAGTGTCTCCACTAGAGTCTAATAGTTCTCACCGGTGTATATCATTCGAAGACCCTGTGACCTTGCTATAAGGAGGGATGTCCCACCCCATCACAGACCCACACAGACCAAATCTCCAGGGGAGGGCACATGTTGAGTTGCTGAAATCATGGACTCTGAACTCAGAGACTGCCTAGATTCGAGTCTAAGCTTCATTTCTTACCATATGAGATTGTCATCATCCATTCATGTGTATTTGTAGAGTGCCTACTATGATCAAAGAGCTGTGCTGGGTGCACTGGTAAGAATTAATCAGACCTCGGAAAGTTTACAAGGCCTCTTTGCCCTCCCTGGGTGTTCTCAGAAAGTGGAGCACAGAGAGACTATAATCATAGCAGCTGTTTTCTTATGGAAACACTATTAAGACGTTGTGCTAGGCAATTTTAATTCATGCAACTATAACAAAAATAGGAAGTGATAGGAATTAGTATTATTCCCATTTGAAAATATAAGATCTTGAAGCTTAGAGAAGGTAAATGACTTGCCCAGGCTTTTCAGCAGTCAGAATTCAAACCCAGGACTGTCTGGCTCTGAGCTGAGCTACTGAAGACTAACCTTGGATCACCAAGGAGCCCCACCCACCAATTGCTTCATTTAGTGACTTTCGTTTTAGTAAATTCTTCGTGTTATACATTTAGCTCTTATACAACTAGAAGGAAATTGAAAAACATGTAGTAGACTTTTTCTCCTTTAGTTCTCAGGAGCAAGCACACTTTGCAAATAATCGCATTCTTGAAAGTTATTTGCCACTGACCATCTTTAAAAACTAGAAATTAGAAAAAACTTATTTAGATTATAGAATGAGCCATGTGTTCTTACATTCCTCTTTTTATTGTTAGAGAGAAGAAGAGGAGCAAAAGCTTTTTGTTTTCCTGTTAATTATCATATTTTTTCCTGAATATCAAAGTAATATATGCTGCTTATAAAATTTAAAAAAACTACAAAAATATGAAAAAAAAATACCCATAGTTTTATCACTCAAAGGACCACCATTAATATTTGAGAATATTTCCTTCCAGCTTTTTTCTGTAAACTCATTTCTTCAACCACAAATAGGATACTTTTCTTTAGATTTTTAGAAGGGTACTCTACTTACATCAGAGAGAATAAATATCTTAAAGGATTTACAAAGTTTTAAACATTCTTATAATTTTATCATTTGAATTATCAGTAATAAAACTTGTAATAATTGAATAAAACAAATGTTTAAATAAAATGACTGTCTCTTTCTTCATCTTTAATCTCCTTCTCCCAATGAGACTGCTGTTAATCTGTTCTCTCTCTTCTACCTTTTCCTCTGCGGATACAAATACACAGACATATATGCAGGTTTTTAAAAAATCCTTTCCCAATTGGAATCATATTCTGAATATTATTCTGAAATCAATATGTGTGTGCTTGTTATTAGAACTAGTTTTTAGCATTCAGTTTTATAGATGAGTCGTCATACATTCGGCTCTGCCCCTACTGACCATTGAGATTTTTTTTCCTCCACTAAGCGATGCTGCAGTGGACATCTGTTCACCTACATCTTTAAACATTGGCAGTTTTATCTTTATAGAATTAGTTTTAAGAAGTGAAATTGTTAGTCAAAAGGTATATATTTTAAGAAATTTAATGAATACTGCTAAATTTCTTTCCAAATAGGTTTTGTTTATTTAACTTCTGACTAACCACACAGAAAAGTACCCCATAGGTCCACCTCTTTGCCAGTATTTGATTCAAAGACTTTAAAACGATTTTTGCCAATCCAGTTGGTAGGATATATCTCATTTTAATCTAATATTCCTTATAGTTAAGCAGGTTTTTATATGTTTTTGACTATGCACTTATTTGTTGACTTGTCTAGAGAGCTAACTTTTCATTTCTTATTTTTCTAGGCTGGCAAGGAAATGGATATGATTGCCAAGATATCGATGAATGTGAGATAAATAATGGCAGTTGTTCTGTGGCCCCGCCTGTTGAGTGTGTGAATACACCTGGATCTTACCACTGCCAGTCCTGTCCACCAGGTGCTACACTAATTTCCTGATTCCATTACAGGCAAAACATACATTTGAAAACAGGATCTTGTGCTCCATTTTAAATATGACTTCTGTAAAAGGAGATAAACTTAATAGTGCAGAAAGTTTTACTTAACTTATGGATTCAGGACACATTAGTACAGCTATATTATAAGAAATAAATTTTTAAAGTTTTGATAATCAATGGAATGCAACAAGCCTTTACAAACTGTCAAATAGCCTGCCAAGATAATGTAGAATTTGAAAATTTTCTCTGTGGATCATACCTACAGCTCCATTGTTTCCACAAATAATTTATTAATATGATGCACTCATGAGATGTTTTACATATAAAGTTTACTAAATAACAGGCATGATAGTAACTTATAATCCATGTTAGTTTTTCTTCTCTTTTGGAAAGAAGTCATTACTGCTATTCTCTAATCTAAATTGAGTTACTACCCAAGAAGTTCGGGGAGTTCTAAGTGAGAAACTGAAACCGTACATGTTTTATTGACATAACAACAGTACTTTGGACTTCTACAATAATTTGGCTCTAAGATAATCACATCACTGTGATTAAAAAAAAAAAAAGTCAACTCTTTTAGCGTCAGCACTTCCTAAGTCTAACAGTAGTTTCATATAGCTTTTTATTTTCGGTTTTTAATTTTGTCATCAAAAACAACCCAGATCATTGTTTCCGAAATCAGATTCCTGATTCTCGTTGTCCTTTTTCTTAATTATGGAATTCTGTTTATGACACTCTGTATGTTTACGTTTTCTGTTTAATGATAGACAATCTCTGGTTGGTCTGGTTCATGATATTTGATTCTCAGATTGAGATTCTTCTTGCATGTTCTTAACATCATTTGTCATGCTCCTGTTCTTGCTGTGACTAGGGTACCAGGGCAATGGAAGAGTGTGCACACTTATAGACATCTGCTCTGTCAATAACGGAGGCTGCCACCCGCACGCGTCATGCTCCTCAGCACTAGGTAATGACTCCTCTCTCCCTCTGGGTTTGGGTAGTTTAAACTACAAATTGATTTTCTAGAAACAAAATTCTCTATCTTCAAAATTCTTATTTTGATATTCAAACCAAAAATTAATTCATGTTATAAAACTGTACATTGGGATTATTTTTTAATGCAATAGACTATGTTCTCTTATGATCTTCTCTAATTTAGCAATTATTTCCCAAGTTAATTAAGCCAGCTAATTAATTCATAATTATATTTCAAAAAACATGAAGGAGAAGACAAGGGAGGACAGCTGCATTTCTTTTAAGGACACTTTTATTTCTGTGCCATTGGCCAGGACTGACCTTGGTGGCTAACCCTGGCTTCAAGGGAGACAAATAAATATAGTCTTTATTTCAGGTGCACATACCCCTAATTAAAATAAGAGGAAAGGGAAAAATGTATCTAGGGTGATAACCAACAGTGTCTGCAATGCTGTGTAAAAGAGGCTTCACCTATAATTTAAAAAAATACATATTGCTAAATTTTCTCTCAAAAATGTATCAATTTATATACTCACCAACAGTGTATGAAAATATACATTTACCCCGCTCCATTGACAATAATAGATACTGTTGTTGTTTTTCATTTTAGTCAATTTTATTGGCAAAAATTGCCTTCCCATTATTTTAATTGTAACTAAACCAATATTGTTTTTGATTACTAATAATTAATAATGAACACTTTTCACATATTTATTGGCCATTTTTTTCTATTTGTTCATGTCCTGTGTTCATCTGCTTTCTTACTGATTTGTAAAATTTTATTATGTACTGAGGACATTATTTCATTATCTGTCTTATATTTCTCATGTATTTTTCCTGACATGTTGTTTTTATTTTTAATTTTGTGGTGGTATTTTCTATTTAGAAGTTTAAATTTTTATGTAGTCAAAAAGGTAAATCTTTTAGGATTTCTCCCCTTAGAGTTAGGCCTTCCCTACCAAACTCTTTAAAAATAGTCAAGTATACTTTCTTTTATATTTTCATTTATTTTAAACATTACGATCTTTGACCTTTTTAGAATGTATTTTTATCTATAATATCAAATAGAGATCTAACTTAATATTTTTGTCCAAATGGGTGGCTAGCCGCAACTCCATTTATTGAATAATGTATCGTATCTCTTGCTATTTTGAAATACCACTTTTATTCCTATAAACGTGTCACGTATATGCATATATATGTCATATATGCATATACGTGACACGTTTATATATATACATATATATGACATATGCATATATGTGACATATGTGTGTGTGTGTATATATATAGAGAGAGAGAGAGAGAGAGAAAGAGAGAGAGAGAGAGAGAGAGGGACCTGTGACTATTTAAATGTGCATTAAATGATTAACAGCATACTGAAGTGGTTAGGAGCATGGATACTAGAAAAAGACTGCTTGGATCCTGATTTTTCCCTTGCCCCACTACATTCCAGCTGTGTGGTTTGTCTCCATCTGTAAATGGAGATGATAATAGTACTTACTCATACGGCTCTTGAGAGAATTAAGTTAGTCAATATGTGTACAGTGCTTGCAACATAGGCCATCATCATAAGAATACTCTTTTCTGCTATCAACCCCTCCAAGATGAGAAACACCCCTTTCCCTTGGTGTACCTCACATCTGTGAACAACTCAACACTAATATGGACCAGTCAATTCATACAGGAAGTATTGGAGACATGTAATGCCTTTCTTATTTTTAAGATTAAAAATAGAAAAATAAAGATTCTAGCATTTTCTTCTTACACCTTGTCTGCCCCTAGACATATGCGGACTTGAATTTGGCAATTTCTTGTGTCGCTAACAGAGCCTGCATTTTTGTTACTGGGTCTGAATTGAGGAGAGTTGTATTTACACTTTTATTTTTATTTCTGAGCAGGTTCCTTACCTCTCTGCACTTGTCTCCCGGGATACACTGGAAATGGTTATGGCCCAAATGGATGCATGCAACTCAGTAATATGTGCCTGAGTCACCCCTGTTCAAATGGACAATGTGTTGTGAGTCCTTTATTTTTCTGGGACGATAGGGTACTTGAGAATCATAATTTTAGTTTCACATCTATGCAGTATGTTTTCTATGATTCATGAATTTTAAGGTAAGGCTTAAGCTTAGGATAAAGAATTGTCTATTACTTTCAAATGAAAGGTAAGTAGTAACTTTAGTTCCCAGGAAAAACCAATGTGTTTATTTTTTCCCTCAGTGATTTACAAAGCATTAAAACAAAGACTAAAGTTTGATCTAAATATATCCAACTTATACTTAGCAATCACCATTTAAATGAATTAATTAACGCAACGTAGGCTCTTGGAAGATGCTTGTGGCCCACCTTCTGCTACATACATCACATAGCACCACTGTTCTTTATTATTCGGGTTGATTTGTGTTTATTGTGTATCCATTTGTTTTATGGCATTATGTTTTTTCTTTCCTAGGAAACAGCCTCTGGTTATCTTTGTAAGTGTGAACCAGGTTGGGCTGGTGTCAACTGCACAGAAAACATCAATGAGTGCCTGAGCAACCCCTGTTTGAATGGGGGAACTTGTGTTGATGGCATTAATGCTTTCAGTTGTGAATGCACACATTTCTGGACTGGACTTCTTTGTCAGATTCTCCAGCAAGGTACACTCAGCATTTCTAATACCACAATTGCTCACAGCTTAAAAGTGTCATCCTTTAATGAGTCCTATTGCCGATTCTCTGCTGAGCCTGCTTTTTTTGTCCACTTGTTCAAATATTTAGAATTAAGTCTTTCCTTACAGAAATTGTATAGAATTCACAAGGTAAATATATATATCTCAATTTGCGCCAAAAGAACCTTTCCTTCAAGGGAAAAAATTAAATTCGTATTTGCTGTTTTCATTACATCCACTCAGAAAGCAAAATATGCTAAGGAAGTTTTCTACGGGAGAGTTTTTTCTAAAACACCCGTTTAATTTCCCTAGAATATTCCATTTAATTATGTCAGTCTCCTGCTGTAGAATATAGTGTTTCACTATTGCCGGTTGAATAAACGTTGGCACTATTTTTCAATTATCCTCTATGACCAGGCCTCACCCTATCCATCTAAATTTATTTTTCACTAGTTCTCTAAAAATAATCCCTAAAAACCAGACATCTTTCCTTACCACCTGACCCCATGTGCCTCCATGAATATTTCTCCTGTGTTCCTTTATTCCAGATATTTCTTCCCTTAAAGCTCTCCAAATTTCTTCTTTGCTTCCCATCTGAATGTATGGTCCATTAGGAGTACTTCACATTAAGCCTCCTCCTTAAAGGCTCTTCC